CATACAACATCGTTGATGGTACTTTATTGCGAGTTTCAATCCCAGGTGAATGATGCTCTCAACAAGCCACCTACTACTCGTGCAACTGCTCGAGGTGGCTCCTCGGAACGATCTACTGGAGGGCTATCAACGGCTAATTTGGCGGGCCTTAGCGGCAGTGAGGTATGATATTGTCTACTGATTGTAACGGAGTCTCTCATAATAACGTTTCATAATGTGCATTCTTATGAGCATTTATCCGCTGAGCTCCAAATCTGTGTATCGAGGTAGTAGTATCGGGTGCGTGATCTGATTTTTTCCCTCGGGACCACGCCATTTAAAGGCAGCCTAGAAATGGGTTTTGGCAATATATCTCAGTTAGCTCTCCTTTGGAAAGGTTCGAAGTCTGAAGCTCTTGTCCGTTTACTCATTTCATCGACATTACCCTTGCAGGTGCGAACACTGTTGGTTTCTAGAAGAAGGCCAGAGGCGAAATTCCCCAGATCCAATTGAAATGTTAGCTGCATGGCACTCGCTCAAATTTAGGTTGATTTAATTGACGTTGGGAGCGGCAAAATATAAAATCAACAGCGCTGAGAGCCAGGACGCTAGATTGCAGTCTGATGTCCTTATGGAATTTGCAACTAATCGAAAGGCTTTACTTTGCAGAGCTGGTACTCGCACTGCATAAAAGAAATGGAGGTGATAAGGATAACTCTGTAACAATACCAACTGGTTATTCTGCAGAATACATATCCTCAACCAAGTAGAAGTGGATCTCAGGGAATTCGCTTTTGACACAATTAATATCGAAAACAGGCGGTATCAGAAAACACTTCATAATGGACTTTTTTTGGAGTGGTCGTAGAAGATTGGAAAATATTCTGTTAGAAGGCCTTCGAGGAAGACCGTCTTGTGTTGGCTTGCACGATTTCCAAAGAGGGACACGGGAACACTACGAGCAATACCTACCCCTTCCGAGTTTCAAAGACTGCTCTGAGTCCAACGATGGAACTAAGCCGATACCTGCTCTATAACCTGGCAAGATCTCTGGGTCCTAGTGGACCATGAAAGCTTTGTAGAAGCTTATACTATTCTATCTTTAGGCCAAACTCTGCGAATTAAAAGCTGCTGATGAGTTCTTGGCCGAAGAAGGAATTTGTGGGTGGTGGGACCACTCTCGCGCCTTTACGAGTGCTTTGCCGTTTCAGGAGTTCACTCCGTTGTATTGCACATGCTTACTTGCTCGAATGCGGAACCAATCCCAGTATTCAAACAGTGTAATATAAAAGTGGCTGTTTTTGTGGTATCCAACGACTGTAGATCCTAGGCAACTGGTCTCTGACAAGAACCGGGCCTACCTGTGATGTAGAGAAAATTTTAAAACTTACTAAACAAAGCTTGCTCCTAGGTTTATTGCACCAGCCTGATATACGCTAGGTTCGAGTGCTGCTGCTGGTTTGGGTTTTTATTTGGTGTGTTTATTGATTTGATTAGAGATTTTACTGAATGCGCCTAATTTTTGCTGTTGGAACGATGTAATTCGTATGGTAGTCTTGTTCACTTTTTATCTTATAAGATAAAAACTGGTTCTCAAGAAGGAAATACACTCCACTGTCAAAGGGAAGAGCTACAACTCGTTTCCCATGTTCACAGTCTTTGCTCAGCGTCAAGGTTATAGGGTGACCACAGTCCACCAAAAAAAACTGGCAACTTTTTTTCCATTTTTCCACGCGCTTGATCAATTTCGCCGCAAAGAACGTAGAAGTTCTGTAATGAGAGCAATTTCAAGTCGAAGGGTTTCTGTTCTGGCCCGTTTTACCCTCCAAAGTTGTCATTCATGCTGCAATTACCTGATGTGCTATTTTCGAAATGACCTGCTCTTTAGTGAGGCATTGGAACGTACGCGCAATAGTGTAGTAGAGGTGTGGAACTTGTTTCAGACGAAAACACTACTCACCGTGTTGTTAAATTGAAACTGAAGTGAGCAGATGTTGTACAAGTGTGATTAAGGAGCTCGGTGCACTTGGAGGACTTGATCAGCAGCAACTGATGCAGCTTCTTCAGTTCATGAATCAAGTAAGCACTACCTTTGCTTCTATACCCCTCGCTACATTCACACATTTGTATTCAGGGAAGCTCAGATTCACCGTCGCTAGTTCCTCAAACACCTTCGGGAGGTAATTCCGAGCGTGGGGCTTCTGGAAATGCTCCTAAAGGTAGGACTCATCCCACAGCTTACCAGGTAAGGTCATCAGGTCACCATGGCCATTTAAGATGAGGTGGATGAGATGCATATCGACGTGTAGGTCTTGGGACGCTGAACTCAAATCTGCTTCCAAAATTTGCCGAACGATTCTCTATGAGGAGTTAGGGGGGGTGGTTTAGCATAGCACTCGCCGATCCTCCTTTGCGTAGCTCAAGTTAAGTTCGAGTACAGACAGTCTCAAGTGGTCGAGTATAGTGGATAGATAAGTTGCTTCATAGGCGAGAGGTCATGGGTTCGATTCCTTGACAGGTTTGCACTTTTGCATTTTTTCGGAACATCTTCTGCGAGTTCAGAAAATACTTTTATCCGTTATTTTGTCAAGCTTGCTCTTACTTGCAGCAGGAAAAGGCTTAAATGCCGGCAATTGTGCTTCTCTTTCAAGACTTTTAGGCAGTGTTTACCCTTTACTGCCCAAATCACCCGAATCAGGCCAGTTTTTGACCGACTTTTTCTTCGTAAGCAGAATTGGCTGAAAAGTTGCCTACTAGGGTAGTCTGCCCATCTGAACATGATTATCACATCCGCTCGGCACGAAACCTCCTCGCACCCGTGTCACAGGCGCCAGCGCCAAAATACCCTAGATCACCAAGTTCGTTGAAAACTTGTCAACTGGGGTAGTTTGACCCCTAGACACGAATATCACACCCGTACAGTCTGAAACCGCCTGACGCATACGCCACAAGCGACCCATCACAGGCTTGTTCCGACTCCGGCGCGTGTAGCACAGACTCCAGTCGCTTTCGTGCGAGGCTCTGTGCTAGGGCAGTTGGGCAAATTGGCCGAAGTAACGCACCACTCTTCCTGGTTGCCTGTCATAGAAATCCTTCCCTTTGCTGAGGTTCAGCCTGCAGAGAAAGGGCCCCATCTCAGGGGAAGGTGCAGACGCAGGTTGCGCAATCACATCCCTTTTTCTCTATCCCAAACATTCCCAACGCCCCATACAGATATGATGTTCGTGTTCAGGAGGTCAAACTTTAGTGGTTCTGGTGATTTCGAGTATTATGGCGCCGGCGCCAGGCATTTCCGGGCTCAGCTAATGGGATATTTGTGTCCAGGAGGTCAAACTATCCCAGTTGACAAGTTTTCAGCGAACTTGGTGATCTAGGGTATTTTGGCGCTGGCGCCTGTGACACGGGTGCGAGGAGGTTTCGTGCCGAGCGGATGTGATAATCATGTTCAGATGGGCAGACTACCCTAGTAGGCAACTTTTCAGCCAATTCTGCTCACGAAGAAAAAAGTCGGACAAAAACTGGCCTGCTTTCGGGTGATTTGGGCAGTAAAGGGTAAACACTGCCTAAAAGTCTTCAAAGCGAAGCAGAATTGCCGGCAATTGAGGCTGCAAGTAAGAGCAAGGTTGACAAAGAAACGGAAAGTATTTTCTGAACTCGCAGAAGATGTTCCGAAAAAATGCAAAAATCCGAACCTGTCAAGGAATCGAACCCATGACCTCTGCCTATGAAGCAACTTATCTATCCACTACACCATCGACCACTTGAGACTGTCTGTACTCGAACTTAACTTGAGCTACGCAAAGGAGGATCGGCGAGTGCTATGCTAAAACCACCACCCCCCTAACTCCTCATAGAGAATCGTTCGGCAAATTTTGGAAGCAGATTTGAGTTCAGCGTCCCAAGACCTACACGTCGATATGCATCTCATCTTGAATGGCCATGGCGACCTGTTGACCTTCCCTGTTTAGATTAGTTTTTCAAGCTTTGCCCACAACTACATGGTTTTCAGTTTCTGCCTCGGAGCTTACTCAACTTCAAACCTTATTAGGTGGGCTCAGGGCTCCAGGAACTGCAGGTGCCGGTTCATCGCAAGATCGTCAGGTTGCGATCGAGCTCGGTGACGTCATTGCTGGAGGGCAAGTAGTTGACACAGCGAAAAACAATGCGGGTGAGTTGAAGTTGAATTCCATTTCTTTCCTCGCAGTGGTAAATAGAACTAATTGGAGGCTCTCTGCTTCACAACCGTCATGATGTAATCATTTTCAGATCGCCTTCTCAACCATATGCCCGCGGAGGATAAAACAGCGCCGGATACTAAACAGGCTTTAGAGGATACTGTTCGTTCTCCTCATTACAGACAAGTAAGCTGAAAAATTCCAGTTCATTTTCTTTCTTATTGAACTCAGCTGTGCAATGTTTCTGGCGTGGATTATTATAGTTGGCCCTTGTTGATATTGTCAGGAAGGGCCAGCAGTTTTGGGACTAAAATTTGGTTTCTTCTGCATTAAGGTGAAGTAGATGCGTCTCATCCAAATTAGCTGTGATAATGTGACGCTTAATTTCATTTGCTTCCGATTATTTTGCGTTTTTGATATTGTGACGCTATGTTTCTGTGGATAAGATAGACTGGTGTATAGCGCTTTCTCCTATTCGAGCCTTCACGCGCTGTCCTAGCTAGTTGACATGAGAGGCACAACACATTAAGAACAACGACACCCCACATGCATCGGATCCTAGTTACACATCATCCTGGTTGCAACGTCAGTTCGTCGCGCTCGAGGCGACTGGGAAATAACGCTTCTCATTCGTGAAAGACCTTAATTTAGTTTTTGCTAACAAAAAAGAAAACAGCCCTAAGAGGACCGATTGTATTTCTTTTCTCTGGCAGTATTCTCACGCCGGCTTCAGCTTCGTTACTTGATTTTCTCAGGCTGCCAACACCTTCGGCCACGCTCTTGCTACCGGGCAGATGGCTCCCGTGCTAGAACGATTCGGCATCAGCGAAGGGGCTGCGCAAGCCGCTGCCACTGGAAGTGAGTTCGTTTCAATTGTGAATAACCTTGAACACGATGTCAAGAGAGAAGGCTATTTTGTGGATACTCTGATGAAGAGTGGCGTGATTTTGTGTAAGGATTGCAATTCATGCAAAGTTCTTGGTTCATATGTGCAAGGGTTTGCTCGTAAGATGCGCCATGAATGTTTACGTCACATCATATGGGAAGATAAATGGAATGGAGCTATTATCAGATACTGCTTTGATCAGAGGAAAAAGTCAAAGGGGGCAAAAGGGCAGCCCACACATTTTGGGCGAGTACCCTATCAGCTACGACACTAAGACCGCACTTATCCTTTCAGCTTCACGTTTTATGCAGTAGCCTTGAAGCTCTCTTGTGATAACTTTTGCACTGCGGCGAACTGCGACGTTAAAGCAATTATCATAATGAAGAATTTCCTTTGACTTTACTCTTCAAAAAGTAGCAGGCACTCCACCACTGCCCCTTCACTATCAAGAAGAGTTGAAGCCATCCATCATCGCCATAGAACGCAAGACGACCTATGGTAATCCTGTCAAGGTTTAAGTAGCTGCGCAAATTGCTGAGCTCATCACTCACATCCAGGTTCTTAGTGTGTCGCCCTGATGGTAGAGGGCATCGGCCGCCCAGCTTTTTGTACAATGCCACCATGATTCATGATTCGTTTTTCATGGTTAGACCATACGAGTGAACTCAAATGTAAAACCCTCTGAGATTCCAGGCTCGTGGATTTGACGGTTTGGAAAATGCCTAGGTAAAGCACAGTTCCGATTAAACGTTCAGAGTGTTCACATACTCGTCCTGTCGTATGGAATATGCTTTAGTTTTGCTCTGCACGAATGAAGTTTTCTATTACGACCTTTATATTTAGTGGTGCCTATTATGAGCGAAGCTTTTAATTGCTTCTCATATGTGGGTTATCGTCTGCCCATATATAATTTCTTTACGAATGTAAAGGAATTCACCTAACTGGCCCGACTTACTTCGGGATGGGTAATGAGCAGGCCAAGGTGCATGAAGTGCACACGAACTGGGCAGGGTCACGCCTACAGTCTGACCAACCCCGAAATAGGATATGCCTAAGTCAAAAACCAAAGTTTTGGTCTTGAAACTGTGCTCTGAGTCAACTTCAAGACTCGGAGGAAATTTGGTAGCAGTGTTCATGGTGACGGTCCTAATCAAACAAACGAGAAATGATGGAGGCGATAGAAAACAAATAGGAAAGTAAGTTTCGACCTCACCACTCGTTCAAAAGGCGAGATTAGTTGGCAGTGAATGGGTCTCCCTGTATGATGACTTACGTTTATTACCACGGTGAGAGCGAGAGAGAAAGGTTAAGTCTCGTGGTCGACGTTGTTTAGGTAGGAAGCGCTACTTTAACAAGTTCGTAGTATAATTAAAAGAGCTAAATCCAGGCAAAATCTGCACAGAGGTGAACAATGACGTTTTGTAAAAGGTGAAGGAATTCCTGTTATGGGCCAAGGTGCTCACTTAAGTATGGTCAGCAGAAAAATCTCTTCTTTCTACTCACAGCTAGTCTGGAAAACGTGAGTATGAATCAAATTGCCCTGAGAGATATTGGAAGTGTTCCTTCTGAACTGGTTTCTGTGAACCTCTTGACAATGAATGAAAACTCATAAATTGGTCCCAAGGGAAAGTTATAGGGGCTCGGCAGCAGCTCCAACTGAGGAAGAGATAACAAATGTCAACTGTAGGAATTTTGGTAGATTTCGTAAAAAAAATGGTTCACGCCTTTTGCGATACGCTTCGTAGACAGCCTCGAGAACAGACAAAATAAAAAAGTGACGTTTTGGGATGGAACGGAAGAATTACTTACTCAATCGGCGGGTGTGAAATCAGAAATTCCCAATGTGGTTCCGGTGCAGTTTAATAACCAAAGAAATCGGAGAAGGATGACGTGAATGTGATCCCCCGTGACGACGAAGACTGACGGACCAAGTGGTCATATTGTGAGCAGAGAATATTCCATAGTGAGTGTGCTCCATGTTTCCAAAACGCCACAGTCTCTGGTAACAAGAGGAGCAGCGACTGGGTGAATGGGCAAAGGTAAGCAGCGGGGTTTAGGGAGAACAAAAGATCCGTTCGCTGTGTGTGGAGCATGCGCCGGTAACTGTTTCAAATCGGCAGGCTAGCTCCTACAATGCCAGAAACTGGGATGAGTCGATAGCGGTACTTTTATAAAGACAATGACAATTAAGTTGAGAGAAATCCTCCCATTATGTGTTAAATTATGCAGAACATGGCAAGAATTTCAAAATTAACCCTCAAGACGAGCATAAAGATAGGAGGAAATTAATAGAGGTGTAGAACTATCAAAGTGGACTGGGCCTGTCTGTAAAGGTCGAAAGGACGCAGGGCGCCTGCAGGTGGGGCTCTTCCAGAACTAATTCAACAATTACACTCTGGGTGGCCCCTTGGTAGACCGGGGAGAAGTTGGGAAGATAGGCGGTAGATAAAGGGATGAAAAGATGGGAGAGAAATTCAAAGCTTACTAGGTGGATACTGTGCCAGTTGCCAGCTCCACCAAAGTGGCAGCATGACTCGCACGATAGTGTACGCCGAACGCCACGAAATGGTGAACATTCCCTCTCTTAGAATTTACGCTTTACTGATAATTAAAGCACAAGTTTGAATAGAATACCCATCAGAGCAATCTCATGAGGTAAATCTCGTCTCCGTCGTAGAGGGGCGAAAGAGTGAACTGCTAGATGTTTTCATATTAGAGATTCATGATCATTACAGATTTGCTGGAATTCGCTAGAAAACTGACTGAAGCAGAACGCGGCCTTGAGGCTTCTCAGTCAGCTAATGAACCAGTTGCTAGCGCCAGTGCAGAAACAGCTGTTGAAGTGCAAGATGAAGATGCTGAGGAACCTGTTAAGGAACCGGAACCCAAACGTGGGAAGACTGAAGAAGATGAAATGGATCTGGATTAATCTTAATTTATCACGCCCACACTTTTTAATTCCATTAGATTTCCCCGTTGCTTTCTAACATGTCTCCCAACACTTGACGAAACGCTAACTTCTGCTACGTCAACCAGTTCTTTTTAATTCGATTTGTCCACGTTTGCTAACGCCTATCTGCTTGATTCAAGTAAATTGTTCTCTAGACTTGGTCTGAGTTTTCTGAGTGAACAGGACTGTCGCACCGACAATCAATTTTGTGTAAAGTCCATGATTGGTTTGGAAACGGCTGAGGCGTGGCGTGGTGTCATACCACTTCCAACACCATTTGTCCACCCTTTACATCACTGATAAGCGATCGCTTGCTGATGCGAACTTTCCTTATCCGTGTTGCCTCGTTCGCGAAGCAGCCTTGTTCTCCATATTTGCTTACTTATTTGACGCATGTGTCGAGCTGATAATGATGAATAAACTGTTCGGAGCCAGTTACTCCTGTTTTTCTTTTGAGTTTCTGTCATTCTGCCATCATTTACTGTAGCGTACTCTCAAAAGCACTAATCAGTTTTCATCATGTATTCAATGACGATGAGCGGGTTTCTTGTTTGCAAGCAAAGAATCTCCTACATAGCTCACCATCCATTTAGGTAGTATGGATTGCGACTGTCTAGTGGTCACTGCAGGATACTGTCTTCTAGGTCTTTTTGCTTTCAAGGTCGTCAGAGCTGTATACAATATTTTATATCCTTATGTAATTGGTACACCGGTTGATTTGCATTCCAAGGCAGGAGCCAGATGGGCAGGTTCGGTTTCCTGCGTTTTTTTTTCTAAATTTTTTCAAGTGTCAACATTCTTATGATTAATGAGCTGAAGGGGTGTGCCACCAAGGGAACAGCTCGCTTTCAAAAACGTGTTAACAACGAAATTGGTTATGATGTTTGTTCGCTCACCCCTTTTAACAATATCGCAGTGTGAGGCGGAAATGGAGTAGTGACAAGTGGCCACCAGGCGCACGCTCCAGAGCTCAAATCCTTGATCAGCTCCTGTCTATCAAGTGTTCTACCTTGCAGAGGCGAAAGATTGGAACCAAACTCGTGGGCGAGGATAAGAAGAGTGACTTGTCCATCGGCTTCCCCCTCCCCCCCCCCTTCACCCCTTAAAGCTTGTACAGGCCATGTCGCATCAAAATGCTGCGATCGATTGAGTGGAAATCGGAATGCAATAGACATCCTGAATTGATCAACCGTTGAGGCTTTATCCTCTTATCGTAAAGTGACTTCCACTACATAGGTGAAATCTTCTTGGATTATTCTCACAAAGCAGCTGGATCAAGTCTCTCGAAGTCGCGGGTTCAAATTACCGCTCAGGAGTAAGAATGGCACGCTCCATATAAACAACCAAGAACTGTTCATCTCAAACTTCCTTCGTATTGTGTTTCGTTATGTTTCTCTGAAGGAGGGGGGAACCAGTTGGAACGCGCATTATGAAAACACGCAGTGCGGTGGCTTTGAAAAAGCTGCTGTACTTTAACGCCTGAGCGAATCCACGTGAAATATTGCGCGCACTCGCGCAAGACGTTGATGTACTTGAAATTAATCACGCGTTGTAACAACACGAACAAAGTATGATCATTTCTCTTCTCACTTCTGGCATAGCCTTAATATTGTAACCTTGACCCAGAAAGGATTAATTACTTTTAT